CTCTCTTGGGGGAAACTGATTCTTGGGCTTAGCAATGCTACAAGTGTTAGACTGAGGTAGGAGACTTTAATGAGATTATTGTAGTTTTGCATTCATCGCTGCTGTCTCAGCTGTAGTAGCATAACCTTATCTTGAGAAAAGATAGAGCCAAAACAGAGGGACAGCAGCGTTGGGGGGTGAAAAATGGAAAGACTTAATGAGACATAGAAAACACAACACTATAAAGAGAAAAGAGAAATAAGATGATGCGATAAATTTACAAAGAAGAAAGAATCTGAGTAAGTCAAGTCCTGTCAGCCTTTTTACAATACTGAAGAATGAAAACAACTCTTGTAACAATGAAGAGCAATATTTAAAACTGTCCCTAGAATAGAGTGCAGTTCATCAGTTACTGCAAAATGCCATTGAGGACAAGGACACAGCAGGGCTCAGGACGGCTCCAAGAGGCACCATAGGAGTTACTTGGACAGCCAGACTTTGGGTCCTTATAATCCAGTCTTTTCATTGCAGCAGTCAGCCAAGAAGAAGGTGAATTAAAAATCCAATTTTAATTTCACATTACAATGTTTTTAGGATTTTTTTTTGTAGCATGCACTTGGTTGGTTTTTGTCTGCCAAGAAGGCTGTGCAGTTAATTGCTAAGTCAAGGAAAATAAGCATAGAATGCTGTCGTTAACTAATATAAAGAAGTCTGACTTTGAAACAAAGATCTGTTTTCCAGTGAGAAGTTACACAAATTGAAATAGAGTGAATACTGTCCGCGATAGTAGTATTTCATGGACTTACGCCTAGTTGCATTGCAATTTGCCTTTTGTTGCTTTTTTAAATAGGGAATATTGTTCCAGTTACCTTTCTCTAGGTAGCTGGTTTTACAGTTCAGTACACTTGAGTGAACTGGTGTAATTATCCTCTGTAAGTGGCTTTTTGTGCTACAAACATTGGCAATTCATGCGTTTCGGGTGCAAGATGGGCTTTCATCTAATGCCCAGAAACTAAGTCATTGGATTTTCTTGCGTGGATCAACTCAAGTTGTTTATTGTGTCCATCTTTCATTCCTCTGCTTGAAGCGGCTTACGCTATGTGAATCAGTAACTGTAGAATATTGAACATTTCTGGATGACTCAAAATACAGAAAACAAAAGCTCTAAAGGACTAGTCACCTGGCCATTGTAGCTCATGAAAATAAAGGGTTTATTAGAAAATGAATTCTTATATCAGGGACTGATAGTAAACCGTGCTAGACAGCAGCATTTTGATACCCAGTCATTGTTGCCGTCTCAGCCAAAAGACTCATCAAAGCCAGCTTTATTAAGATCTGTATGTTAAACAATTCGGGAGTGCTGCTTTGGGAAGGCAAAGTGGGGTTAGCCATGCGCACAGTCTGAGAAAGACCTCTGCGTCTGCCATTCCTCAGGTTTTGTCAGTGCCCATAGAGCTGCTGATAGATTTTCACCTGGCTGCATGTGTCAGTGTTGGCTTGTCAAAGCAGTTTGGCATTCCTTGTTTCAGGCTTCCACTGGAGCCGCATTCCTGGCGTGATACTGGCTCAGTTAAAGTATATGTCATACAACTTGTACTGAAATTCATGCTGGTTTTAAGCGGCTTTTTACCTGTGCAAACATGGCAGTCGTGTTGTCCAGGGCACACACGGGGGACTGGGTAGACTCTAGCCCTTCCTTAATCATTTGTGAACTGAACATCCCATGCTTAGCACTGTTATTTAGAGTTGCAGGACACAACTCAAATACACAGTGTTTGATTCTGTTTTTTCATGTTCCCTTGGTCTTTGCTTTGGCAAGGGACCAAGAGAGCAATCTTTAGACTTGAGGGTAAAGGCTGATCACCTTTATGGGTTTCTAGATGCCTTTTGGCACCAAGCCTTGAGACCACAGGCAGCGATGCTTTCCTTGCCCACGATCTCTCCAGGCTGTGTGCAAAGCACGGAAAGCCAGCTGCTCCACATGTGGCTTCCAGGATGGACTGTTGGGTAAACCTAGAGGGTTTAAGCTCAGTTAAGACATCACAATACTTTCCCCAGTATTTTTGCTTTAACCTCAGCTTCATTTGAAGAGCATGGTTTAGTTGAACTGTCTTGTTACGTGGCTTCCTTTATTTTTGCTTTAAACTGGTTTAACTTAGGCTTATTTTTAAGAGCAAGGCATGCCAAATAGTGAAATTCTAGCTTAATTGGAATTAGTGTGACCCACTGGGGATGAAAAAGAAACAGGTAGTCTTAGAGTTTCAGCATGGAAAATGTTTTGGTGGTATAGCAGCATGGGTGAGCTTGCTCCCTGAAAGCATAGCCTGTACCAGGGAAGTGTTTCAAGCAATGTGAGTTAAACTGGCTTCCCTAATGAATTAAGTGTATTAAGAGGATAAGAGGAGAAGGAACTGGGATGGTGATGTAGCTTTATCTTTGTCAGGGTTTTGCTAGCACAGCTATGCTCTTCTCAAGGGTGTGTTTAATTCTCTTAATTGACATGATGTTGGTACTTTTAAGTGCTTATTAGTGTCCCCCCAAGATCAAATGTGCCTGTACATGCAATTGTTCAGGAAGAGCTTCAAGTCTGGTCCAATTTTAGTATGAACTAAAGTGTATACAGGCCGTGAGTTATCTGGGAACAGGGCAAAGAAAATCAAAACAAGCCATTGGAGCAGTTTTTCCCCATATAACTAAATCAGCTAAATTGTTATAGGGGACACAGGAACAACCTTCCTAAGCATCTGAGACCTGGCCCTTCTCGTGTACTGAGCTACTCCCAGACTTTCTTTAAATCCCTTCTTTAAGGAGCATTCCCACCATATTTAACTAACTGTGTGATCTAGTCCAGTTAAAAGTCTTTCTTTTTAGGCTAATACTTTAGTCAAGTATTTCTGACATTGTGCCCTATTTGAAGTGGACTGAAAACCCGATGAAGAGTCTCTGTCTTTGTTTTTAAAGTTCAGGAACTCTTTATAATAATACTTTATCAGTGCATGAGAGCTATACTTCTGTAAGTAGGAAGGTTTAGGTGGCTTTACAGCATTGCTTTGAAGCCACAACGAGGTACGGTGTGATTCAGTGGATGAACATTTGTTCCTTCGTCTTGCACTGCATGTGAATATTAAAGTGGTTGAAGTTTTGTGTAAGCAAAGACAGCAAATGTATCTTGTCCTAACTACTGGCTGATTTTTGTCGTTTGCTCTTTCCATTTAGATGACATTTTAGATGAGGCAACAAGGAAAGACCTTTTCACCGACACTTTGTGTAAGCTCTGCGGGGCAGTGCTGCAGTCTGAGTCTCAAAGGTGGTCACACTATAAGGTAGGCTGGAAAGGAGAATTTCTCCTAGCAAGCACTGGGCCTTTGGTTTGCTTGTTTGGGGTTTCTACGTATTGTTATAAAAGACTTTTTATGGTGTGTTTCTCAAAGTTTATGCTAGGCTTAGACATTAACCAGACTTGAATGTGAAAGTTGTGGGTTCAGTATAGTGAAGGGCAATCACCTGCATATTGCAGCATGATTTTAGAAGGAACTGAGCAGGTTCAGGCCATACTATATATGGGATTGAAGCAGATCTGCACCACGTGAGCCAGAACGTATGTATGGCATGGGGCAGTGCTAGCTGTAGCGGATTGAGGTTGTGCCTTCTGATGCTTCAGCCAGCGATACGCAGTGTCTGCTTGAGGCAGGTTGTATGAATCATGCTGAAGGCATTTCTTGGAATAACTGTGTGCCTTAGGATATTGCTGTAGACATGGGAAAGCATGCTTTATTTTGAAACTTGATCTTGAGGGTATGCAGGTTTGCAGGCACAGGCATTTCTGTCTTTTTCTTTCTTCTTGCAAAAGTTAAAGTTTAAAATGTCAGTTGCTGTCAGGAGTCTTTCTTGCTATTCACATTATGAAGATTCAGGTCTTGCAAGGTGTTGTATTTCCTTACTTTGATTTAACTTAAGCAGCAGTTGTACTGCCAGAATTTCACAGAGTTCAGACCCTCAGTTTGATTTGCTGTTTCTCGGATCAAAATCCAGTTGAGGATAATACATGCAATTGTAAAGTTACCTGACTTCACCGTTACAAAATGAATTGATGGAAATAACTGACTCTTCTCAGTTGTGCTTGTATTGTCTTGCCAGGTGTGATAGGTCCTCTTTCTCTTTGATACTGATAATATTATTGCAATATCCTGCACTGCTCCTCAGGATCCTTAAAAGACATCTGAAAAGCATCAGGTCAGAGAAGACAAGTTACTTGTTTTGCTTTGTAGGTTACCACCATATAGTGTGGCATGTGGGTAAGTACGTTACAAGTGCAAGAGTTTGAAGGTTATGAGTTCAGAGAGCATCTGAGAATTAAAAAAATAATTGCAGCTGAGGGAAGTATACATTAACACCCAATTTTAGGTACCTGGGCTATTGTAACCTCAGTAGAAAGGTGTAGAAATCTCCATAGATTGACTCCAGCTTGGAGTCACTTTAACTCAGCTTCCAGGGAAACCCGTTTCTCTCTACTGAGTGTATGGGGAGACTAGACTTTTTATTTAGGAAAGTAAGTTAGGTCCTACTGCCTGTTCTTCTGTGCCACAACATGGGACAGCCTTGATGTCAAGCCCCCAGGCTTAGTGGTAAAGGAGCACAGCAGACTTGCTCTATGGCATGGCTACATTCCTTTCCTTACCTGTTTTAGCATCCCTATTTGTAAGGGGACATGTCAAGATTTTTGATTCCCCAAAGAGTTGAGAGTAGATGACTCCAAGGGCTGCTCAAAGCAAAATGTTATGAGTAATGCTAAGTACTATATTATTGATTAAAATGTAGTAGTGTTACATGAGTTGGCGTTTGTCCGCTTGTGGCTCTGCTTTATACAAATACAATTTGGCAAGTGTTGAAAGTAGTTTTTGATGAATGAAGTCCCAGTCACTGGATATATCGCTGCTTGGATCCTTGTTACTGAAACAGGAATAATTCTAGTCTCTTCCCAGGGCAAAAAGCACACTCAGAAAGTTCGTCTTTACATCCAAATGCATGGTGAGAAAGATGAGAGGCAGCAGCATGGTAAACAGAAGAAAACTAATTGTATCAATTTTCAGGTGACTATTTCTCTTCATCACTAAATAAAATGTTTCCTTGTATACTTCAGTGAATGCTTGTAACTGAGCTTGCCCTTGCCTGGTTTCAGGTGGATGGGAGTGGAGTACTGGACAAAAACAAATACTGCAATCTCTGCAACGTGATTTTTACTTCCCCAGTTGTTGCTTTGTCTCACTACTTGGGAAAGAGCCACGCTAAAAAGCTGAAGCAATTATCAGGATGCCAAGCCCACATGCCAGCACAGAGCATGCAGCCTGTTCCTGGTAAGAACTAAATAGCTGGCTTTGTGTTTTCCTGTCACTCTCTGAAAAAAATAGAGAGGTATCTTCCTACACTTGCCATGTCTCTATGCCTTCCTATTCTGCTGAAGTTGTGGAGCTGTCTTGTGGTGATTCCTTAGGTGAATAAACAAAGATACTATCCTGTGCAACTCTGAAGCTGTGGAACCTTGCTTTCATATTCCCTGTCTTTCACTGACTGAAACTAACGGCAAATATTTCTGATTTTTTATTAATGAAAGGTGTTTATTGTTGTTCTGAAAATTCACTGCAGTCCCAACAAGATGTTCCGCTGATAAATTAATGTGATAAGAAATTAAAAAACAGTTAGTCCACAAGCAACACTTAGCTAGTGGTAGTCCGATACAAGTTGCTGAACTGTATTTAAAGATGAAGCATAGTGTATGTGCTCTGAATCCCCCTCTGCAGGGTACATCTCTCTTCTTGGACTGTATAAGGACCTTAGAGTGACCAGCCATTGAACACAGCTGATTTTTAGGTATCTAGTGGTGGGGTTTCTGAATATTCCAGGGTCGTGTTCCTTATCAGTCTGTACTTTCGTATCCTTGCAAGTATTAAGATGTTTTATAGTCTCTTGCACGTAGTTTAGCACCCAGCAGACTGTTCTCCTTTCCAGCTCTGTAGTTGTGCAGTCACCTGTTTTGCTCCATGGAATTGGTTTAGCCTTTGCTGTGCTGTCAGCACATTTATCCTCTACTTCATGTCTCCAGCTTTACAGAAGCCATCAGCTGAGAAGCCCTTGCAGCCTTCAGAAGTTGAAGAGTCTTCATCATCCTCCAACCCTTCATCATCCTCCAACCCTTCATCATCCTCCAACCCTTCATCATCCTCCAACCCAAGGCTGAAGCTAAATGATCCAAACAAGTACTGCAAGCTCTGCTGCGCTCCCTTCAATAATCCACTCGTGGCCCAGGAACATTATGTTGGTAAGAAACACAGAAGAAATGAAGCACGGAAAAAGCTATTGGAGGAGCTGGGAGACAAAGGCATCCCTGCAGAATCCAGCACAAATGGTAAGCAGAGCATGAGCAAGTGTTACAGTCTCTGAGTGTAGCTCGAGTGCTCAGTTCTGATTTGTTCAAGGAACTGCTCTGATGTGTGCAAGGAAATGGTAGTCTTCTCCTGTGTTGCAGAACAAGTTCATTTCTTCCTTTCTGTTTGGTCTATGAATTGCTAAAGTTCTGTCTGACAGCTGTAGGTTGGAAAATATTTCTTATTGACTTGGAGACCCAAATCCAGTCCTCACTGAGTTCTGCAATCAAATTGAAAGGATTGTAGAAAATAGCCCAGTCCCCTAAATCCAAAGCCAGCATCAGTTGCATCTGTGTCATTCTTAAGATATTCATCCACCGTGTCCTTAAAAACTGTCTGTGCTGGAAACTCCGCAACCTCCATAAGGAACCTCTCCCAGGACTTCTTGATCTTTACCTTCTCGATCTGAAAACCTTCTACTGACATTGAACTCAGCGCTCTCTGACCACAATGTATTTCTTCACTGTGCACAGAACAAGAAGCAGACACAAGAATTGAATCATTTGTTTCTTTTTGTCGCGTTCTTTAAATAAGTGAAAACTGCTGTCATGTCTTCCCTTAATCTTTTATTCATGAAACTGGTTGTTGTAATTATTTCAGTCTTCCCTCATAAGGAAATTTCTTTCCTAAACAGTCATTGTTCTCTAGCCTTCCATTAGGACTGTCTCCACCTTAAGCACTATGTCCAAAGCCAAGGCCCTGTTGCTGTGCAACTTCCATTAATTTTGAGGGGGCATCATCTGGTCCTGTGCAACAGAACTGTCAATCCTTTCTTTAGTAAGGAATTCAAAATTCTACCTGATAGTCAAAAGTCATTGTTGGTGTAAAACAGCTCTCACTAAGTCATGCTATAATTTAAACAAAATAATACGTTTTGATGCAAAGCAATAGCCCATTGGAATTAATGCTGCATTTTGCTAATGGATGAAGCTGTTGGGTTTGCAGGGGGAAAAAGGTTACTCACTGGTTTTAGAATACTGAGGTCTATGGATGACACAGCTTGTAGGAGAGAAGAAAATGACAACCCAGAAAACACAAGGGTTTTCCTCATCTGACGTCACCTTATATTTGCCTGAGGCTCCGTGTACCATATTCATAATGTACTGTACCAACAATTCCCTCAGCATCTTTGCAGGGTTGAACCAGTGCTGCATGAACATTTGAGCAGGCAATGTTCAAAATGATCTTACTTAAATCTGGACTGACTGGATTGGTATCCGTTGGTCCTTGCTTTGGGTCAGGTATTTACAATAGTATTTAATTTTTCAGTACAGTTCATTCTCATCAGCACTTGACAACAGTTTGCTGGAATTACCTTGGATCATTTCAGTCATCAGAAACACTCTTTGTTAATGTTTAAACCATGGTTACACTGCAACAGTACACCTCACCAGTTCTCTTCAGAAATATTATTCTAGTGTAAAATTGCAGCAGAGACTTTATATCTATCTATAAATATTGTTTATGGGAACATTATGTTAGGACTCTTGCATGGGATCGTGATGTGCTTTGAGTTTTGCCTTCCATTTGTAGTCTCTCTAACCTACAGGTTCCTTCTTTTCAGCAGTTGGGGTTGGTTGTTACGTGTGCCCCGTATGTAAAATCATACTTACATCTATAGAAACGTACCAGTCCCACATGCAAGGAAATAAGCACCGGATTAAGTAAGTCAATAAGTCTTTTGATACTATTCATCTGCAGTTTGTACTTCCAAACTTTTTCATTAGCCCTGTTGTCTGCTGTTAAGTGACTTTGACTAGCTCCTGGGTTTTTTGTTTTGTTTTGGGGTTTGTTTTTTGCCATATGGTTTACTGGTTTAAAGGAGCACTGTCCACTTAAACATCATACTTGTGACTGAAATTCAGTCTTAGAGTTCCCACAGTTGTATCTTCAATGACAAGCCACAGGGGAAAGGTCCTGAAACCTGTACAGTTTTCCCACTTATTTTGCTATCTGGAGATAGCAGCACCTGTTCTGGTACAGGGCAAAGACGACCTTAATCCTGAAAAGTGCCAAGTCTCTGTCAATTGTGTTGCTTTCAGGATTCATCAGTAGGCATCTTACATTTGGCGTAAGATCATTTATGGGGTAGATGATAGCTCTTGTACTTTCCCTTTTACCCAGAAGAGGGCTTGTAGACTGTGTTAATTGCAGAACGGATATTGTGGTGATTTAAGATGTACTTTTTAGAAATTGCTGTGCAAGTAGGCTAAATATCAAAATTGGTTACATGTTAAGCATTTTGCTAAGATACATTTTAAGTGAAGGCACAATAATAATATAACCACAAGAGACTGATGTAGAACTGATATGATTTTAAATGTTTGTTTAGTCAACAGAATTAGAGTCCCTA